GTTAGAGATACTCTGGTCTAAACTATCTGAATTCTAATTTTAATTAAATTAGTTAGGTTTTATGGAATTTATTAGGAATATATGAAACCTATAGAACATATTTTTGTAATATTCAGTTTTGTCCACCAGAGGGTATATATAATTTTTCAAGTTATTTTTTACATGAAACATTAGGGCTCTAATTTCCCAATCAGAAATTAGTATATATATAAAACACAAATATACAACTGTATTAAGGAAACACACGCAGAAGATGATATTATGAGCAGCTAGTATATGCTGATTTGTTTTCTACCTTTTACGGGTACAAAAGAAAGAACTGAAGACTAAATTATATGAACATAGGCAAAGGTACTGGGTATGTTCAGTTTGAAGAAAATTGTAGTAAAATTAACATTCAAATATCTGAAAATAGCTATGAAGTACAGCAACCTTGTTTTCTGTTATTTCAAAGAGAAGAATGAAAATACATGGGGGCACAGTTTAAATTAAAAAGGTTAAGAGAAAGAATTTAGAGAGACTAGGAAAATTTCCTGATAGTACAGATGATCCAAAGAGAGTGGTTGAGAATGAAAAAGGTTCTCAATGAAAGTGATACACTAGTGTTTTGATGGCTCCTCTGTCAAGTGCTATTGTCTGACTCCTGATTCCTTTACTATTAATGGTTGATCCCAAAAGCTACTTTGATATTTACACTGTCAGTACATATCACTGAATAGTTTGCTATTTGCATAATTTAATCATTTAAGCATTTTAATTGTATTGCAGCCATCTCATTTAGTATGCTTTAAATAGATGGGTGATTTTATATAATATCTTTCTATGACTTGTCCCTAGTGTACCAATAAATTTTAAATTGACATTCTTTTTGGTTCCAGTCTTGATTTATTTGTTACTACCTTCCATTAACTTGCTCAAGAAACTCATCAGAAATATTCAAGGGATCATTTTTTTCCACATAATCTATTAGAGGAAGATGGTTATTAATAGTGACAAATGACTATCAGGGATGCCAGGTAGTCAATTTCCTGCATGGGCTTAAAGTAACCCAGCTTAATCTGACATCAGCTCCTCAAAGGAAGGTCAAACGGTTCCACCACATCTTCTGCTACAATTGAGCTAGCTTCTACTTTTTCCTTAAAAATTGATAATGCGAGAAGACACCCAGGGTTGAAGTCTACCTTTAGCCATAAAAACTCCAAGTGACTGTAGACTAACCTACTTTACAGTTGTGGTTGTGAGGATAAAATGGAGATCATAATGGAAGCTGTTCTGAACACTTGGAAGAAAGATGGGACATAAACCTAATAAATGGGGGGGGGGGGGGAATCCCTATCCAAAGCCCTGAGCTCTTTGTGAATCAATACCACCAGCTGAATATCAGAAACAGGGAGGCACCAAAGTGCATAGCAGTACATGTCAGGAAAAGATCATTAAGAATATTTTTTTCTCAAAACAATCTAGAATGCCTGGGCAACCTTGGAACTATATTTGATTAGATTTGTACCAGTTGAGTTAATGTCCTGCATGCCTGGAAAACATCTGCTTTATAAAGATGTTTGTGAAATGGAATACCCTTGAACTTTGACTGCCAGGCTGTTTACTGTGGCGTATACATCCTTTGCTATCTAAACCTGGAGCTTTGTCCTTGCTTTGCTTTTGGAACCTTGTCTAGAATTTTTAAGGATGACCTTAACAACAGTTGCTTAAAATTACCTAGATGACCAAGATTGCATACAAACTGATAAATAAATAAATAAAATGTGTTTAAATACATTTATTTTTTTGTATGTCTTTTTGATTGTGAGTAACCCTTTGGGAATCTGGCCATTGATTTTATGACTTTTCTTTTGTTATTCTCAGTCATCCAGGTCATAGTTGCCCAAAGATGCTTTTTCACGAGGCAACTGGACTTGTTTTTCTTTGAAGAAGTTTCACTTCTCATCCAAGAAGGTGCCTCATGAAAAAGCATCTTTGTCAACTCTAACTCTAACCTTCCCTACTTGTCCCATACAACCCCTTGCCAGCATTTTTTTGTATACAAATATTTTATCTAGCTTCAGCCTCTCTGCTATTTGTCTGAGAAATAATATAACAGAACAACAGAGTTGGAGGGGACCTTGAATATCTTCTAGTCAACCCCAGCGCAAGCAGGAGACCCAATACCATTTCAACAAGTGGCTGCCCAGTCTCTTCTTAAAAACCTCCAGCAATGGAGCACCCACAACTTCTGAACACAAGCCATTCCGCTGGTTAATTGTTCTACCTTTTGGTAAATTTCTCCTTAGTTCTACGTTGCTTCTCTTCTTGATTAGTTTCCATACATTGTTTCTTGTGTTGCCTTCTGACACTTTGGAAAATAGGCTGACCCCCTCTTCTATGTGGTAGCCCTTCAAATATTGGAATACTGTGGCCTTCCGGTTCTGCGCAGCTAGTGCTGCAGCTGAGGTATTGAGACAATCTGAGCCCTACGGTTGATTTCTCTCTGTTTGGGGACCCTAAATGGGCCCAAAGCCACCCTGGAGAGATGACAAGGAAGGAGGGAAGCCCCAGCGATCCTGGGGAGATGGTGGTGGATCCGGACGTTTGGGGAAAACTCTCCAAAAACCAACCGAAGAAAGGCTAGCGTCATTCGTGACTCTAGCCCAAGCTACATGCAGCCAAAGCCAAAAAGCACTAAACTAAGCGTGATTGTAAACAGCATGAGTGAACTGGGTAAGAATATTGATTTTCTCTCTTCTACCTGACTGATTTCCTGAAAAAAGAAAAAGAAAAAAACCCAGAAGTAAAAATCCTCCAAAAGTGTGTGTGTGGGGGGGTATCTTTGTTTCACCCTCCTCTAAACAAAAATGGCAAATTAAGTTTATGGGGAAAAAAATACAGAAAATTGAAAGATGAACTGGTGCTGACATCTAGTGATGGATGAAAATACTGCCCTAAATATACAGCCCAGAAAGAAAAGCCTGTTGTCATGACCTTCGGGGCTTTGATTAAACAAAGAGCAGCTGTAACAAAAGAAAACACTGTGGATTATCTACAAAGTGTCAACTATAAAACTTAGAAAAAATTGACCAAATATTGGAATACTGCTATCATGTCTCCCCTAGTCCTTCTTTTCACTAGACTAGACTTACCCAATTCCTGCAACTGTTCATCTTCTTTGTTGGTCTTCTCTGCACTCTTTCCAGAGTCTCAAGTTCTTTTTCATATTGTGGTGCCCAAACCTGGATGCAGTATTCCAGGTGTGGTCTTACTAAGGTTTTATAAAGCAGTACTAATACTTCATGTGATCTTGACTCTATCCCTCTGTTTATGCAACCTAGGATTTACATTTGATTTTTTGGCTGCTGTCAAAAAAATGATTGTTCTCTAGGGCTTCAAGATCCCTCTCACAGACTGCTTTTGAGGTTAGGTTTCACCTAATCTGTACTTGTACATTTGGTTTTTCTTGCCTAAGTGTAAGACCTTACTTTTCTCTACATTGAATTTCATTTTCTTGGATAGGGCCCAGTGTTCAAGTCTGTCAAGTTCCATCTGGATCTTGAGCCTATCATCTGGGGTGTGGACTATTCCTGCCAGCTTAATGTCATCAACAAATTTGATGAGTTCCCTTTCTATTCCCTGATCTAAATCGTCTGTCTGTCTATCTGTCTGTCTGTCTGTCTGTCTGTCTGTCTGTCTGTCTGTCTGTCTATCTATCCATCCATCCATCCATCCATCCATCCATCCATCCATCTATCTATCTATCTATTTATATGTTATAAATATATCATTATGTATGACTGTAACTGCTGCAAAATTAAGTTTTATATACTTGATTTTAATTGGCTTATATTATAAATATCTATTACAGAAAAAAACATGTTAAAAACAAAATAAGACATGAATAGATATGAAATATTTATATTACTAGATGATAAATTTGGGAAATAAATATATAAGTCTCATAAATAAATAAATAAACCATATATACTCTATAGATGAAAAGTGTGTATTATTGAAATTAGTTGTGAGCTTCCTGATGGTCTTTGAGCTTGGTTGTTTTCTTCTAGACGTTTCATTACCTGACTAGATAACCAGTAGCATTAATAATACTGATAATGTTACCTAGTCGGGTAATGAAACATCTGCAAGAAAACAACTAAGCTCAAAGAGCACCAAAGACCCCAGAGAGGTCAACCCTTAGCTACAAATATTCTCTGAATTCATTTTAACATTTTAAAATAATCTGAATTTAGGGTTATGTAGTAAGTAATCCACTTTGCAAATAATGTATGTGCTTTCCACAGTGGCACCTTGGTTAAGTTTTATCATTCATGCAATCACCGAATCTCAAGATGCAAATGTTTCTTCTAAGACTATTGTTTTCTGTAGATAACAGAAGGGCAGAAAGTAATTTGAGATCTAATATGCTAATAATCATGAACATGTAGGCATGTTCATTTCCCCCTCCTTTTGAAATGTATAAAAGAGTGCATCTTTTTCTCTGCAGGGGTATGTCTCTCACTATTGTTTTAGAGGAGATCCTCTCCAGTATGTACTATCTAATAAACACTACAGTGAGCTTGATTATTTGCTTTGGTTCCTGTTTTCATTCTACAGAAACTGGCATCAGAAAATTCACAATTTTCAAGCTGTAACCAGATGACAACAGGGTACCATATAGGGTGAGTATTGTGTTGAGTTTGATCTCATGTCCCTTCCTGCTGCCACATGAGGGCACCATTTGTGTGTGTAAGGCAACAAACTATGCCTAAAAGTCTGTTTTGGATAGGGAGGTTTGTTGGATGAGTGTGACCCTCCTAATTTTCAGCTGCCCCTGGCCCTGATGCAAGCTCAATTTATTTTCCCCACAAAAGCATAAACCATCCTTAGCACATTTCTGTCTTTAGTGTACATCAATGAAGTTATTACTTTACAGTATTTGGTAAATTATATAGCTGCCTATCTCACATTCCTTACTTATTATTGCTCAAAGTAAGTAACAAAATGTTACTTACATTTGGTCTGTGCAGTTGAGAAACGAAGTGTTAGCTTGGCAAAAAGATCATCATCCTCATAACGCTCCTCCTTAGCTTTCACCCAGAAACAGTCTTCAGATAATTCCTGTACTGTAATCTGTAAAGGTTATATATAACATGACATAATCCATATAAACACCATTGCACATTCCTATTGCAGTTTATCTGTTCTGTACGTATCTTTAAGCAAAAAGATTTTATGCCTGTTGGCAAACATGCTATTGTTCATAAGCTTTTATCAAATAGAAACCATTTCATCAAAAGTAAATAGTGTTAGTCTGGAGCTAATATTGCTGAATTACATTTATCAATTTATGGGATTAATTTATTATGCATTTTTCATTTCATCATAAAATACAAGAGGCATAAAATACAATACCTTTCTACCCATAAGAATGGAGTACAAATAAAAAAAAGAATAATATAATTACATGCTTAATGCCAGCTCTTTATTTCACTACTAATAAATAGAATAATTAAGCAGCAGAAAATCAAAATTAGTTCTAATTAGCGGAGACAAATATGCAAGAAAATGTATCTCAAAAACTGGCAGGCATCAAAGGATTTTAAACAGAGAAACCAGTGAAGAAAATTCCAGAATGTATATATTACCCCACATTCTAACCAATGATTTTTATACTTCTGCAAGCCTTATAAAATTCCATTCAGTAACAGATAAGCCTTAAAATATTCTGGCCCTAAATTATATACAGTTAGGGTATATACAATTATCTTTTCCAATTCAGCACATCTGATAAAGATATTCACACAATATCTAAAAGCTTAGACCACAATACTTGTGCTACTGTTTAAAATTCATATCTATATATAATTTCACTCTGTAATCCATCATATTTAAATGATTTGCTATAATTATTTCTAAAAAATTAAAAACAGTATCTTAAATGTCAAAAGAAACATTTCACTATTTTAAGATTATTCATAGAGGTAAATTGACATATTTATTAAGTACCTAAAATACATCCAACTTTCTATGTCATAAAATTCTGCAAAATGAAAATTAGTTTTGCAACAACAAGTAATAAATGTTTTCTAGTCCTCAGCATTCAAAATCTTGAACACAGAGTAATTAAGGGGAAAAAGCACTGGTAGACTGAGGAGTTTGGAAAAGGAAACATTGACAATGGGAAAAATATATCTAATTATCAATTACAAGAAATCACCTTGGACCAGTTAGTTCTCCTAAGTTGAACTTCTGGTTTGTAAAGTTTCTTGGGAAGCAATCCAAATGGAAGAGCTGGAGTTGCCATAATTCCAAAACCAGATAGAGTGGGAGGAGGTGGTGGTACTGGTATCCCAAACTGAGACACAGGGGGCAACCCTGGCATACCGGGAAGAGGTGGTGGTGGAGGGGGCAACCCTGGCATACCGGGAAGAGGTGGTGGTGGAGGGGGCAACCCTGGCATACTGGGAAGAGGTGGTGGTGGAGGGGGCAACCCTGGCATACCGGGAAGAGGTGGTGGAGGAGGGGGCAACCCTGGCATACCAGGAAGAGGTGGTGGGGGAGGGGGCAACCCTGGCATACCGGGAAGAGGTGGTGGAGGAGGGGGCAACCCTGGCATACCAGGCAGAGGTGGTGGGGGAGGGGGCAACCCTGGCATACCGGGAAGAGGTGGTGGGGGAGGGGGCAACCCAGGCATCCCAGGCAGAGGTGGTGGGGGAGGGGGCAACCCAGGCATCCCAGGCAGAGGTGGTGGGGGAGGGGGCAATCTCGGGATCCCAGGCAGAGGGGGAGGAAGGAGTGGCTCTGATATCTCAGGCAGAGGAGAAAGGGGAGAAGGGAGTGGCCCTGGCATCCCAGGCAGAGGAGGGGGAAGAGGAACAGAAGGTGGCTCTAAAACCCCAGGAAGCGTGGGAGGAGGGGAAACAGTTTGTGAAGAAAGGGATGAAGGGATCTGGTGACTTTCTGTCCTGGTAGGTAATGGTTGCTGTGGTGGGAAACACGTAGATGAAATGATTTGCTCCATTTTCTTTTTAAGATCTTCAAGTTCTTTGGTCAGTAGAGCAATCTTTAGAGAAAGAAGTAGAACAAGTCAGACTGAAAAAGTTTCATAATTCTAAACCAGAAAAATAAACAGACTACCCATCTCTAAGCCATCATTCACTACCTTGCTAATATTTCCTTCCTTCGAGGTTTTGAGATTTATTTTTGTGTAACCTGACTTTGTCTAATGCAACAGATACAATAATAGGCAGAACACACTGGATTGATAGTCTTATTCTGATTTAGGGATGTGAGATTCCTACACAAGAGATCCTTTGGAACACAGCTTTCTGAATGATCGAAGCAGGACTTTTTCCCAGGATTACATAACTATTCTGAAAGCTGATCCTGGCTGTTCTGAACCAAGCATGCACAATACAGAACAAAATGGCTGTGCAAGTGAAGTGTGAGGAGAGAGCTGGGTATAGTCCACAATGGAAAAAGACAAACCTATTATATGATTCAAATAGTACTTCATTAACGTTCCTAAAGAATGCTTTGAAGGATCTGCATAGCACTATTTTACATATTGCATATGTACATCAAATCAGATTGTAACACATTGCACATCTGATTTAACATTTCAACCTAACCCAGTTGTAGATGGTTAGTATGTGGGGCTCTCAATGCGTCTGCTCTAATAGATACAATTAGGATTTTCAGAGTAAATTATAGGTATTTTCACAAAGTGGCTGCCATGATGGAAGTAGAAATGGGAAAGATCGCTTCCCATTACTACTTTTACATTTACCATCTCAGCTTATTTTCCAATTTTTTAAGGATATGCAAACTTCCAGAAAAAGCATGCTGGGCAACTTTCATTTCATTTTCTAAAAATAATTCTGCAGGTCACACGGAGACCAAATTATTGTTGCCAACTGAAATTATGCTAGAAAAAAAGCTTGGCACACAGCCAGACTGGCACTATAGGAGATGCTGTCTGACATACTGCAATGCATTGGATCACACACTGGACCCAGTTATAGGACATTCATATTTCTCAACTAGCAACTTGTTATATTTGCTACAAGCTTCCAAGACTCTATTGAATGTGATGGGGTATAAATCCATAAATAAGTAAATGATCTCCTTTAATCCCAGAGTTCATATACAATTCATTTTATTCACAAAGAACAAAACAAATGTTTCACAGCATGCTACCAACTATCCCGACTCCCTCTCTTAATCATCATAATGAAAGGGATGTCATATAGTGTGGAATAGCAACATTTACATGCATCCATTAACATCTCAATATCCTGAAATCTTAAAAATACAACTTTTCATTCACCTCCTGTCCCATCACATTACCCCATCACATTACCCAATTCTTTCTCCAAGACAATAGCAATATTTCTTATTCCATTTTATGATTCTTGGGACTGAGGGCTTAAACACTGAAATGGCATGTTCCTCTAATGTAATCAGTTTATTTGTACCATTGATCATTACCTCATCATTCAACAAAGAGCTATTAATTTCTAAGTTTTGGTTCTCTGAAATAATACGCTGTTTCTCAGCTGTCACTGTTTCTTTCTCCTGAAGTAAATTTTGAATTTTTTCCTCAAAATCATTTTCTTTCTTCTTCATTTCAACTTGTAATTCATGACGTGCAGTCAATTCAGATTCCAGCTGAAAGAATTATGCACAATAATCATGCCAACATATTCCATACTGGTTAAACCTCATGCGAGAAAATATTTTCCTTCTTGGGGAGTACAACATGAAGGATGCTGATTAGATGACAAGTGGATAACATTTAATACTACTGAATATGAAAACATTTCAATAGGGTATGTGTTAATTAGTTTCGGTCATAATCCAGGTCAAAAATGATCTATGAAATTATTTAATGAAAAGAAGTTTTGTATGTAATAACGAAAACATTATTATAAAATTCTGAAATATGCAGGAATCTTTTAAGAAAGGCAGTAAAGAAAAATGTTCCAGTGTTTATGTTTTCTGTGCCTAAGTGATGCTGACATGTCAGGTCACTATTTATGTAGTTTGGTTTTATCTTGTCCAGCCATGACTCACCAGAAATTCTTCCCTCTTCTGCTACTCAAGGTCCTTTTACTTGAGGTGACAGGGACTGAATCAGAACCTTTGGCAAATCTTCTTGTCTATATTTATTTATTTTCATTTTAGTTGATACTTCTAAAATTAAATTTAATAAATTAATATCTCTTCTTGATCCTTTATAGCGTGAGTGGCTGGCCAGTGCACATGTGTGCTGGACGGTGCACGCATGAGCATTGTGGACGTTTGTGGCTCCATTCGTGTGAGCATCGCCACAAGCATTCATGGCCCCATTCACATGAGCATTGCCGCAACTGTTTGTAGCACCACTCATGTAAGCGTTGCTGCGAGCGTCATGGGTGCTTGTGGCTCCACTCTCGTGGGCATCACTCGTGCAAACATCACCGGCGTTACCAGCATTCATGGCACCACACATGAGTGCTTGGGTCACCATGTCGCAGGTACTTGTGGAACCATGCGCTCGCAGTGGGCTTCCGTGACCTCACTCACGCTCACGGCCCCACTCACACAAGCAACAGGTGTTCATCTGCACGCACATGTGCGCACATGCATTTACCCCTCCACAAATCATCCCTTCTTTCCCCCCTCCCCCCGCTCCGGGTTGCCAACCCTGAAAGGTTGGGGAATTCTGCTTTTACAGCTTTTTGTGAGATAACATATTCAGAATGTGTTAACAATTACCCCCACTCTATAAAGTCTAGATTTAATGGTAGTTTTCCACTTTATCAATGAGGAACAATCTGTCAATTAGAATAGGGGTCTCTAATCCCTAGGTTGCAGCCCATTCAAAACAAGGCCACACAAGCAGTGGGGAAGCACACATGTGTATGCAGCTCCACTCGCGCAAGTGACGGGCACTTGCGTTCATGCACACAGCTCCACTCACACGAAGCTCTATTTGCGGAAGTGGTGGGCGTGCACATGCAAAGCTCCACTTGTACCAGTGGCAGGCACTTGCGTTTGCACTAAGACAGTCACTTGTCTGAGATGGTATAGGTTCTCCTGCTTAAGTGGGGGGCTGGATTAGAAGACCTCCAAGGTCCCTTCCAATTCAATTCAATTCAATTCTATCCATAGAGCTATGCCACTCACACACGCACACCTGCCACTCACAGGGTATCATTTGCTGTCCCCCCCTACACACACACTGAGGCACCAAGCTGGAAAGTTTGGGGACCACTGAATTAGAAGTAAGTAATCCACATGCTTCATGCAGCTCCTCTGAACTGTTGCTCCCATTTACAGAGCCACCTACCTTTTCTGGCATTAAATATACAACTAAAATTTGGTAGGATTTGGTCTATATACTCTTAAATGTTTGCAAGCAATAGGAAAAATCCTCTGGCAAATGAAAAATATACAGGATGGCATGTGTTTAAGATTAATACATAAATTATACATATAACCTTCTGAAATACTTTAGAATAAAGATGTTTAAGTTTATACATTTTTTCTTTTCAAATGCACCACGATGAGAAATAGAAAAAGTAAGCCTGTTTATAATTATATATATATAATTAGTTCAGAAGTGTTAAAAATAAAGGAAAATGAAGAAAATAGTTTATGATAGCATGCTACTCAATGAAAACTTTGGCATACAACTTCCTATTTTGGGAATGACGTTTGTGGCACCCATTGAAAAAACAGTATTGCAGCAATGCTCTAACCATTATTGCTATTATTGCTGCAGAATTAAAAAAAAGAATGTACTTCTGAAGATGAAGACAATATCAATACAGACCTGATTTTTGTCATGTTTGGGAGAAAGCCAGGGGAATACTCCTCTTGCATACTTATAAATAGTAGGCCATGAGTACCAAAGAAAAGAGGCATCAAGAAAAAAAGAACTAAACAGAAAGAAACAGCTATCAGCACCACAAATGAAATAAAAACTAAGTTTTTTTTTAAAAAAAATGAAGATGTTTAAAAACACAAAAAGTAGTAATTTGTTCTGAGTAAACAAAAAGCCAGTAAACAAAGGAAGAATGAAAGATAAAGAAAAAATTTGATTGTAACCTTCTTCTCCAATTCCAGGGTTTTAGCTTCACTTTTTGCCACCTTAGTTTGATCAATCAAGTTATCTACAGAAAAAAAAAACCTAAGTAAGAATACTGTGAGAAAAATTCTCTTCTGCACTAAGCAACCCTATAAAGTAGAGATGCATATTTTGGGGGGAGCAGTGGGCTTCTTCATTCTTTTAGTGGCATCCTCGGGTTGTGTAGTTGTATAGAGCCGGGGGAAAAACTGAACTGGATTTTATTTTATTTATATTTAATTTAAATTTAGTGAATGTAGTTAGTTTCTGGCCATCTATTTAATTATTAATTGCATCACATTTCTACAGAACTTAGCTACTGGTATAAATGCTACAACTATTAACAAAGTGAAAATTATAATTTACTACTGAAAACTTTGAAAGCCACACTGAAAGTTTTCAGGAGGCAAATGTAGCTCAGAGCACACCTGTATTGTAGAGTCTTATTCAATTTCTAGATTACGCATTGCTTTGCTACATCCTTGATTTACCAGACATAGCTAAATATGTGCATATCTGCTTTTTCTCATGCATCTTTAACAGACCAGAAATACATCATTTCTTGTGTCTCTGACACTGAAAGAGCAAGAAATGTCGTGCTAGAGAGGTTTTCATCATGAATTAAAAGTACAACTGTCCTGAAATGACAACTGGCAATGTTTTCAATAGACTGTAGATACTTTGGGCAAACAGTAAGAAATATTCTGCTATCTTTCTTCTTAAAAAAAAAAAAAACTCCTTTGCAACTAATATGCTTAACCTGAGTGATTTATTTTTTACAATGGGGCATAAAATGGTACAAATATATTAATTTTCTGTCAGCTCATATAATAGTAACAAATGGAAAAATACATTTTTCCTGGACAATTAGCAAAATAAATATAGCCAACCGGAGCACCAGACTCACCTATTAAGGCCTCAACATTAATGTCAAAGTGTTTGCGTTTAAAGTCTGGGTCAGCCCCATTCCTGAACAGAACTATCTGTGAAATGCATTCATCAATTAGTTTAAAATATTGAGGCCTAAGGCAAGAACAGAAAAAAAATATTAGTGCTGATAATCAGAAGTAAAGCTTCCTACTATAAAGTTATGTATATACATCCACACATCAATATCTTTTTACATTATTATTAAAAAAGTTTCCTTTTCTACCTGGCTTCATAGTCATTGCGGATTAGCAGGAAGTGCTGTAAAATTGAGAGGAAATGTTGTTCTGCCTTAGAATCCTTTACTGTGTTTAGGAGAATCTGGAAGATTTCATTGAAATCAGTAAAAAAAATAATTAAGGAATCAAAAGCCATTCAAAAGAAATACAGATGCATAGCATTAATTCATAAAAGAGACCTAGTTTACCACTTGATTTCTGTATTTGTGGTAAAGGAATTAATATAAATCTACATAAACCAGTTTTACCATGATTGTTTGTTAATTTAAAGCATTTACACATCAAATCCAGACAGAATGTTCATACTGGCTTACTATTCATAAAATATAGTTGTAGTCTTCAATTTTAGAATTTAAATAGGTGTATCAAAAATGAAAACAAAATAGGCAAGGAAAACAAAAGCAAGAAAATGCACTTTAAAATGACTGTTACCTAGAGGTTATATTATATCTATAACACTTCCCTGAAACTATTACTCTCTGGGGGAGGAACAGCTCAGAGATGAGCAACTCAAGATTTGTGATTGCTCAGCTATCTCCCCTGCTTCAGCATAACTAAAGAGTTGCCACATACACAGTAGTAGCCAAAATTGTGGAAACCTTTTGGGAAAAGTGTATTTTTGAGGTTTGATGGCTAATATCATTTTTTTTTGAAGTAGTACCATAAAATTATATATCAGTGGAAAGATATTTTAATCAAGAATTAATGCAACAAAGTTTGTTCAATTATCTGTACTGTATTCTATGAAAAGTTATAGCCAAATAACCAGAAAAAGAAAGCACAACTTGCTTAGGTTGATATCAGGTAGCTTTCCTTCATCTGACTGTAGCCAATGAGCATGAGTGTTTAGAGAGCCAATCAGGTGTCATTTTGTTTTGGCAATGAGCAAATCAGATCACAGTAGGATTCAGTTATTAATGTCATGTATTGAAGCTGTCAATGTGTTATGTGATCGCTATCAAGTTGGTTGGTTTTTTTTGTGTTCTTTCATTTAGTGAGCTTGTAGAACATAATAAAATTAAAGTAATGGTGCAAAGAGTTGACTGGTTGCCCAGAAAACGATGTAAAATAGTATTATTAAGTGAATAATAGTATTACTAAGGTTAGAGTTATAAAGAAATTAGAAGAAAAATTGATGGAAACTTAACCAAAGGTGGCATTTCTACTGTACACTTTTCCCAAAAGGTTTCCACAATTTTGGCCACTACTGTACCTTCAAGGATTATGTCACATTTTTTTGTTACTGGAAGTTTAAAACATACTTCCTTAGGGAAGAATATTTTCTAGAGTATTGTTTGTGTTTGTGTTTGTGTTTGTGTGTACAGTGGGTATATGTATGCATATACAGATACACCACTTGAGAAACCTTTTCAAGTTCAGGGATCAGTCCAAGCAGTCAAGAGGAGTCAGCACTGACATAAGATATGACATGGTGATATGTCAGTGCTGATTCTGGTGACTGCCTGGACTGGTCACCTGCAGTTCACTTGACAAGGTTTCTCAGAAGTGGTTTGCCATTGCCTGTTTCCTAGAACTGAGAAAGAATGACTGGCTCAGTGCCACCTAGATGGCTTAGTGCGTAAGATTCTAGAACTTTTAGAGCCACCTAGGTGGTTCTCAATTGGATCTGATGACAAGAGGGCATTTATAATAGATATCTATTTTCATTGTCCAGGATCAAACATATATATATTCCATGTATTTTCAGAGCCACAATCTCTCAGCCCTAGGAAGCAGGTAATGGTAGACCACTTCTGAAATCTTACCAAGAAAATTGCAGGAACTTATCCAGGTAGTTGCTAAGAGTTGATTCAACAGCACCAAAAAATTTTTTCTCTCAAATCAAAAATACATTTCCATGCACTCTCCATATCAAATTTACAAAAATTACAATCAGATCAAACACAACATATTGTTGAGACTAATTTCATCAAGCTTCTCACACTGCATGCATTTTGAATTCTAGAGTGACAGAATGACTGTGCTAAGAATAAGATGTAATTATAACCTTCAGTATTTTATTCTCATTTTAGTATAGTAAAAAGTCATTTATATTCAGTGGCGGGATTCAGCTGGTTCACACCACTTCAGCAGAACCAGTAGCTAACTTTTTGTTGCCCAGGCCCAGAATGGATTTCCGGAAGCAGCATCTACACAGAGAACTAGTTGTTCACATACCTGAATCTCACCACTGTCTATACTGATGGTTTTATTAACAAAAATAATTTAAAAAACCCTGTTGGACAAGGTCAGGGATGATATTTGCCTTATGATATGTTGTAAATTTCAATCTCCCCCCCCCTTTTTAAAAAAAATACATGACTAGCACAGAAACTCCCTCTTTTCAGTGTTTCCTGGATACCCACCCAATCACAGGCCACATGAGCATTACAGGAGTCAATACTGCCGGAGAACAAATGTGGTGTAGCAAGCTGTTGGTCAAGTCTGGGGACACCCAAGTTCAAGTCCACCCTTAACTATAGAAACTCATTTGGTGACTTTGGGCCAATCACTTTCCTAGCCCAATTCAATTTCCTTCACATGTTGTTATTGTGAGGAGAGCCCCATGCAGGTCATCTTGAATAGCATATAAATCTGAAAAACAATAATCCTACTGTAAGAGAATCTTGGAGAAGGAGGCAATAACAACATAAAATAACATAATAGGGTTGGAAGGGACCTTGGAAGTCTTCTAGTCCAACCCACTGCTTGAGCAGGAGACCCTGTAACATTCTGGACACATGGTTGTCCAATCTCTTCTTAAAAATGGCCAGTGATTAAACCTTCCAGTGATTAATTGTTCTCACTGTTAGGAAATTTCTATTTAGTTCTAGGTTGGATCTCTCTTCAATGATCTTCCACCCATTACTTCTTGTCCTGTCCTCAGGTACTTTGGAGAACAGGTTGACCCCCCTCTTCTCTATGAAAGCCCTTCAAATACTGAAAGATTGCTATCATATCACCCCTAGTTCTTCTCTTTGTTAGAGTAGATATACCTAGTTCCCACAACTGTTCATCATATGGTTTAGCCACCAGACCCCTTATCATTTTTGTCTTGTATGCTGAGATGTTGGTTGAGTAAGTCATATATTTTGAAAAAAAGGATATTCCATTTCAATTCGAATGTCTTCCAAGCGGCCTCTGAGTTCTGCAGAATCTTCTTCACCATATTCTTCAAATACCTGCAGCTGCAGTTTCAGCTCCTCGTTGTCTTGAGCATGCAATTCCTGTAAAGGACACTGTCACTTCAGAGGATATCCACTAGACAGCACAACCCTCTTTTATTCTAAGAAAACTTCAAATTATTTGGTAAAATATTGTTTTGTTTTCTCTCTTCTTTTTCCTTTCTCACCTCCCTGCTCCCCCCAATAAGAGAACTAATTTGTTGAAATTATTTGAGACAAGAGACAAACTGATTAACATAAAACTGATTACTATGTCCCTGCCCAAACATCCATGACATAAAAAGGGAACCACTTTATCATTTATATATAGGCGATTCACATAATTGAAACACAAATTGAAATACAAATGGTATACAGGGTAGTCCTCAACTTATGACCGCAACTGGGACCAGCATTTCCATTTCTAAGCAAAGCAGTTGCTAGGGGAGTTGCACCTGATTTTACAACATTTTTTGCCATAATTCTTAAGCAAATCACACAGTCTTTAAGCCAATCGGCAGAAATGAAGCAAAATCCAAACTTTGTTTCTTCAGCACAAGACTTTCCTCCTGCACAAGAGGGGGAGGGGAATTCCTTTATTGAGCTGGAGAAACAAAATAAGAATCCCAAAGCTTTGTTCCCATATTCCACCACAGGAGTTCTCTTTTGTTCACAAAGAGTTGCTGCCTGCCTTCTTTTGGCAGGCACAGTGATTTCACTTTGTTCATCTTAAAACTGGGAGAGCTGGGAATGCACTTGTTGAGCAAGGCAGTCACGTGGGCATCTTGCTGAATGGCCACTTTGCTCAATGAGCAAGATTCCAGTGTTAATTATGGCCATAAATCAAAGACTACCTGAAGCTCCAAAATAATGTTGAAGTATAATTAACCCCATCAAGTTGTTTACATGTTAAATGGAGTCTTAAGATATTATCTTTCCCAATATAGCAAAGGTATCACAGTAGAAAGGAGAGATATTTCTAACCTTCAGGGTTTGCTGCAGTCCAGAGCGCATTAATTCACTGCGGATGTGCAGCCTGAAGTCGAGTTCATCTGATGGGATGATTAGAGCATTGATCAACTGTAGACAAGCTACCTAAGAAGGTCAAAATAAAAATACATGATTCAAAGGCAACCCAGCTCATATTCTAAGTCTACTCCCGAACAGAAGTCTTCTTTTTAAAAGTAATTAATATTTGTCGCCCAGTGTCCCTATTATATTTAAATATATGCAGGGGGTCAAGTAATAATATACCTAGAGCAGCAGGAATGCATGGCTTGAAAAGAATACTCACTCCTTTTCATCCCAAAACCAGAATGCAGAATTTTAGAATCACAATGCTCACAAAATGCTTTATAATTAATGGATACTTAGTATGCTCTTCTAGGGCTTGTTCAACTAATCAAACCATCTTCCTGTTACCTTATACTCATTCTAATCAAAATCCCTGATTGCTACCTTGAGCTAGTTCTGAAGATATACAAAAAGAATTTCAGGATAAAAATCCATTGAGAATTCAAGTGTACTCAGTACTGGTGAAATAAAAGAGAAAATGAAAGGCATCAGAGTATTCTGAAAGAGATAAGGTAGATAGAGTGTGACATTCTTTTTCCAGGTTCCTCCTATTACCTTTAATGCTACCGAAGTTCCACTTTTCAGGCCATCCACAATGGGTTTAAATCGTTCTACTTCATCCATTTCTGCACGTTCAGTCAATGCTCCCAAAACTTGCTCGTGCCTAATCAAAATAAAGGAATCACAAAAAACAGAAAGAAAAAATAAAGGAAGAAAAAGGGGGGAAATAAAATCCAGCTTTTATAATTGTTAGATACCAAGTCTGTATTTTTTTTAAAAAAATCTTATTTTGACTTGGGATTTTAAAGATTCCATATTAAAATTTAGGATGCCAATCAAATTCTTCTGAATTTGAATGTATCTAATTTAGACTCAATTGTACAACTGGCATATACTCATAGATTATATCTGACACTTGATGTTTTTGTAAAGGATACAAATAACTAATCATCAGCTTTATTAAATTCAAAGTTTGCTCACAGCTATCACTGTTTTTATTGTTTTTTGTTTTTCTTCAGCAGGCAATGTACATAGAACGTAGAATGATAGGGACTTCAGAAGTCTTTTAGTCCAAGCCACTGTTCGAGTCAAAAAAAAATTACAGTATCCTGGACAAGTGGTTGAGCTATGTTACTGAATGCTCCCCTCCATGAAGATATGGTTCCATTAACTAAATGTTTAAATAAATAATTAAACTCTCATTTCTTCAGTACAAAAGGCTCAATTAACAAATTATTATCTTTTGGGGATAATAATTAACTGAAAACATGTGAGATCTCTTTGAATCCTTGTAATACACATATCATTTCTCTCTCTCATTATTACATTTTTCTGTTTTATTTTCTTGAATATTTTGTTTGTATATCAAAAATGTTTTGAACAAAATTGTGCAAAAATTATGGAGAGGAATCTAATTGCTATTACAAAAATACTTTACTTGAATTAACTATTCATTCATAACAAGTAAAAGTTAGGAAGAACAAATGCATTGGGTTGTGTCTTAAGATATGCAAACAGAAGTAAATTTGTGAAACAAGCTTTGCTGATTCCTCACCTCTTGCTATAACCTCCATTTATACTCTGAAAAGCTACAGATGTAAAACTTCCTTAAGTAACATGGGATGAGGGTAATGGCTTCAGGAAGAGAAGGAAGAGCATGTTGCTTCAACTTTTTTTTCCTTGGGATATTCAGAATTCATCTCCTGTACCAATTATGTGCTTATTAAGAGGCATAATTGATAAAGAAACTGTATTTTAACATATTTTCCCAAAAGGACCTATTCTTCTACAGCGTACAACTAAATCAAAAGATAAACTACTCATTGCCACATACATATCCACAGGCTGAGGCAGGATGCAGAGAGCAGAGAGTAGCTTGATAGCATCAATCATCATCGTAGGGACTTTAGGATCAACTGCTTTTGCCAGAAGTAGAATCCCATCATCTGTTTCAAGCATTGTCTTAATTCCAAACTAAAAATTTAAAATCAATTTGGGTGAATAACTTAGATTATAGGCAGAAATAATATCCATACCACAAAATAGCACAAGTCTCACAAAAACATTACACTATATGTTCAGAAAACAAGAGAAAGGGAGTATGTTCTAATGAAGAACTTGTGAAGCCAATTTCGAGAAGAACTTAAAGGCATTTTCACTTAATACTATTTCCATTCCTCAGTGTATTCAAAGTGTTTTTCAGTCTGCCAAGCAATTAACTGAATAGGCAGGAAACATGATGAATGGGAAAATGGAAGTATACATACAACTATCCAGACACTTTTGGTGTCAAATTTGCTGTAGAAACCAATATAAAAGAATTCCAGCAATCGATGTATATGAAGTTGTCTTATATGTTGATAATGGATAGATCTGATGTCAGATTGATCTAACCATATATAAACAAGAAACCTAAAGCTTACACCATCTATGCTGATGCATCATTCCCTGCTAATGGTTAAAATTAATACAGATAGTCTTCAACTTACAAGTATGATTCAGCCCCCCCAAAATCTGTTAAGTGAGACATTTGTTAAGTGAATATTACCCATTTTTCAACCTTTCTTGCCATAGTTGTTAAGTGAATCACTGCAGTTCTTAAGTTAGTAACAGGACTGTTAAGTGACTTCCCCATTTATTTGTCAGAAGGTCACAAAAGGTGATTATGTGACCCTGGTACACTCATAAATATGAGTCAGTTGCAAAGCATCTGAATTTTGATTATGTGACCATGGGATGCTACAACAGTCGTGTGAAAAACAGTCACAAGTCACATTTTTTCAGTGCTGTTGTAACTTAGAACAGTCAGTAAATGAACTGCTGTAAGTCGATGACTGCTTACACCAGTCATTTTTAAAAATATTTTACAATGCAGATTGTCCTCAGTTATTAATCACTTGTTTAGTTACTATTCGAAGTTATGATGGCGCTGTATGAGGAGACATGACCAATTCTTCTAGGTGTGACTGTCACATGATTGTAATTTGGGTGCTTGACAACCAGCTCGTAATCACAACAGTCACAGCATCCTACAATCATAGGATAGCTATTTGTATCATTTGCTGCTGGCTTCCAAAAAGCAAAGTCAATGGAAAAGCCAGCAGGCAGTCACAAACGGCAGTGAAATGATATCATGCTTTATGATTGCATCACTTCGCAACAGAGTTGCAGAATCCCAGTTACTCTCATTATGCAACAACTATCTTTATGCATAAGTTATAACTAAAGCCAGGTTTTACTGCAAACAGGCCCATGGTATTCTATGCATACAAGAATGTCTACCTAGAAACTACTTTGTCTCCCAACATTCTGATGTTCACATTCCACCAATTGGGACATATATGAGTAGCTGGGGTCAATATTCATGGGCTCATTTGCTGATGACTGTGGCAATGTGGAATGTTACAAGGAGTATATGTCAAAGAGTTTGAATTAAAAAAGAAATGGAGTAAAAAAACTGTCAAACAAAGGGGAAGAATACAACAGATTTTAAAGAACATGGTCTGATCATGTGAAATTGACAAATACATTCCTGAAAGTATGAGTTTAATGAAAGGTTAAAATATGTTAGAAATTATTAATTAGGGTCAGAAATGCATCCTTGAAATGAAATGCTAGCAAATAGTTGAAAATTGAGCCAAATGCAACATAAGAATTTTCTTTTCTTTTTCTTTTCTTTTCTGTATTTTAAGGATAAATGGCATTGGCATGAGGAATTTTTGTGATGGTGTTGAAGAGTATGTTGATTCAGCATGTGAGTATGAGGGTGATTTTATATGCAGACTAGATGAGCCATGCCAAACTTTGGCTCATCATTTCAGAGATATTTCTAATGTACTGCCTTCACTGGAAAAGGTGGGATACATTCAGAGATATATCTGCCTAGAACGGGGGTAGGCAACCTTGGCTCTTTTATGACTCGTGGACTTCAACTCCCAGAATACCTGAGCCAGCATGGCTCAGCATGGAAACCTCTCCCTCTCCCCTCAGCATGGCTGGCTCAGGAATTCTGGGAGTTGAAGTCCACGAGTCATAAAAGAGCCGAAGTTGCCTACCCCTGGCCTAGAAGATCTCCAATGTTGAACTGTATAGCAGAGTCAAACCACAGCAGAGGAAATATTTTATGACATTTTGTGTGCCATAGATTGCTTTATGATAATGTTTAAATTTTAATATGTTTTATATAAAATTTGCCAAATTTCAATTCCATGGGAGTCATGGATTTCAGATACATACTGTAAGTTAGCCCATTTATGTATCTTCATTCAAAAACCTTTGCCCTATGGAACATCATTTTGTCCAGTTAAGGATTACAGGAATCAGCATTTTAAAGTTTTAAATCCACAGTTTTAGTAGTATATAGATAATGCCATATTCTTGGCTAACAGCCCCAGTGATTTACAGTAAAACATACACAAATTAATTGATGCAATAAACAAAATGGGTTTGAAGATTAATATAAAAATCTACTTGCAAATGGTAAAATTAAGAGAATAAACTATTACAAGTTATATATAAATGGTCCAAAATTTGACCAAGTGTATCCTTGATAGAACATTTCTTAAAGATAGAATGCCTGCAACATTCTCTTTTTCACATATTTTCATACTTTAAACTCCATTATCGTACTACTATTTGCACAATTGATTTTATTCCTTCTGCACCTCTCAAAAATATTTATTTTAGTTAGCATTCCTTTCTATTTTGGTTTTTTTATGTCTAAGCTGTTCTTTTTCTCAATTCTCAAAAGTATTTTTTTAATGTTCGTATTACTTCAAATAATCACTCATAATCTCCTCACAAATAACTCTCACAGAAAAATTTATTAGATTTACTCTTCATTTTTTTGAGTATTTTCCTGCCAACATTTTGTTTAGGAATGTTTTATCTGCAATGAAACTGTTTGAATAAACTAGGACAAAAGACAGATGTCAAGGATTTCTGCCTATGTGTAGTCACAATTAATTTTGTTGATTTGTAAATTTCTTTAACATATTTTAAATAGTGTTAATGTCCGAAGTCATTATCTCACCCATCCTTATAGTCTTGTTTTATTATGACCCTTGCTTGTAAGTTTAGAGCATCATTTTCTATGCTCATATCCAGTGTGTAATAGTGTTCCTGAACTGATTTCTTCTGCTTTGAGAAACTGATTTGATTTTTTCGGCTTCTTTCAGTAAATGTATTCCGTTTTAATGTAGCCTAATCTTTCAAGTATAGTTTTTCTTCTTAACTTAGACAGTTATCGTCATCTCATTTTAGACTCCCATAATCCTGAAATTTATCCTTGTCTTGTCTCTTTAGTTCTCTCCTCACAATTTCTTATATATAATTTTAAATTTAGAATTCTTAGTATTATAGGAAATAACATTAATTATAATTTTCATTCAGATTACCTTTCAGGGTTTTTTGTTTCTACTTGAATTATATTTTCTGCTTCAATTTTTTTTTAGATTTCTATTTCTTGTGGCTCTTAACCATGGTTTTAAGTATTCACAATCTGAAAATACAAATCAGATCATGCCTTCTGAGGTAAAGGGTTTCATGTATTGGCAGCTTTGCAAGTTTTTTCTCTACATTTTATAAATATGCAAAATTGTAGACAGACTTTTGCATAAATAAACTTTTTTTCACAATGCCATTCTCCAATATCTTAATATTCACAACTATTCAGCTGGAATAAAGTCCTTACGAATCAAGATTTTTCAGAAGTGGTTTGTCACTGCCTCTTTTTTAGGGCTGAGAGAAAATGACTGGCCCAAGGTTACCCAGCTAGCTTTTTTGCCAAAAGATGGACTAATACTGCTGAAAACGAACATGTTTAAATTCTTGCCCATTTGTAATTTTTGCTTTCTACTAATTAAATATAAGGAATTATATTCACAAGTTTCTACATGGAGAAAATAAGGGACTTACTTTGTTGTTCATGAAAGCTTTTAAACACCTAATAATTTCATGTTGGATCCTGAAGTCATATGACCTGGAAAAAACAAGAAACAAAACTGAAATAATATTAATTGTACACCCAGAATTATCTACTTACACATGTAGGTTTCTATTCCAGAACATTAAAAAACATGCAAAACCATAAGAAACTGTAGCAGAATGCTCCTAACTATATCAAAATTCAGTAGAGGAAAAAATATGACCGGATAAAAATACTACCCACAAGGCCTAATCTTGTGGATCCATACATCCATTTATCCTTTGTTGTTGTTAGTTGCAAAGTCGTGTCCGACCATCGCGACCCCATAGACAATGTTCCTCCAGGCCTTCCTATCCTCTATCATCTTCTGGAGTCCATTTAAGCTCACGCCTACTGCTTCAGTGACTCCATCCAGCCACCTCATTCTCTGTCGTCCCGTTCTTCTCTTGCCCTCCATCTTTCCCAGTATTAGACTCTTCTCCAGTGAGTCCTTCCTTCTCGTCAGGTGGCCAAAATACTTGAGTTTCAACTTCAGGATCTGGCCTTCTAAAGAGCAGTCAGGGTTGATCTCCTCTAGGACTGACCAGTTTGATCGCCTTGCAGTCCAGGGGACTCACAGGACTCTTCTCCAGCACCATAGTTCAATTCTTCTGCACTCAGCCTTTCTTATGGTCCAACTTTCACAGCCATACATTGCAACTGGGAAACCATGGGCTTGACTATACGTACTTTTGTTATCCTTATCCTACCCAAATGTCCTTATTTTTCCTTTAATCTTTGTACACCCAAATAAAACACACAATTAAAACATGTTTCCAGCATTCAAAAATCATCTTACCCATTCATTCATCCACCCATCCATCCCTCCACCCATCCATCCATCTATATTAAAAGCTATATTCATTCAACCTTCCAACCTCTCTATTTACCTACTTATGAAAGCCAGTGTATTTAGAGTCCTGCACTAAGGTACGGAGACTCAGGTTCTAGACCTCCTTTAGGCACAGAAACTCACTTGATGATTTTGGGACAATAACATCCTCTCAACCTACACCGAGAAGTCAAAAACATCTATCTACTGACCAACACTGGACCAGTATGGTGTATTACAATCCATATAATACGCACACTTGTATACACAAATGAGGCAAAACGTTTGTGGATATACACAAATTTATCTAGATGCATATGTATGTGCAAGCATTCCAGTTGGGTGATTGTGACTTAAGCATAGTCTATCTATATACTAAGTTTATTATGTATACTAGTTTACAATATATACATATACATGTATATGTATATATTTTATCATTTTATCTCAACTTAAACTATTTTAATTCAAGTGCTCCTTACCCAGAAAACTCATCCTTCTCATCGTGAAGACCTTTTAATATGTCCAGCAGGCAATTCAGACCTTCAGCTCCAAAATTTTGCACCCAGCTGCAATTGTTGTAGAATAAAACACATTATTATCTAAATAAAATAATTACTTCATCTTCTCATTGCACTGGCAATTGCATAAAGGTAGTCCTCAAATTACAACAATTGGGACTAGAATTTCCATTGTAAATTGCTGTAGTCATGTCGATTTGAACCTGATTAAACACAATTTTTATGGTGGTCATTAATCAAATCACCATAATCGTTAATTAAATCATGCAGTTGTTAAGTCAATCCAGCTTCTCCAATGGGTTTGTTTTTTTTTTTTTGCCAGGAATTGGCAAAAATGATCACAAATCACAATCACATGACCAAGATGTGCCCAATATGTGATTAGGTGACTGTGGGAGAGGTGCAACCATCATAAGTGTGAGTACAGGTCATAAATCACTTGTTCTGAGGCCATGATAACTCTACACAGTCGTTAAATGAAGAGTTGTAAATCGAGGACTAGCTGTACATCTGTCTCCAGACATGCATCATGCCCACAAATTTTAAACAGTATTTAGCAATCAACAACATTCAAACTGAACCATTACCTGACAGGATTGTTATTGAGTGACACACGTAGAGACTCCAAACAACCAAGGAGCTGTGCATCTTTAAGACCAAATTTTAGTTCCTGAATGTACATTATAGGAGATTTCGAGTTCTCCTTTTGACTCATGCCCTGCAAATGAAAAAGAATGATAAATATATATCCATTCTTTCTAAATTAAATATGTCTCCACAGCACAGAATATAATTCTTGAATTGAATTTTTCTCTCATGTTCAACAGATGAATACAACAAAGCTCTCAGTTTTAAAAATGGGTTCAATTGGATATTGTTGAATTATATCCAATTACATTCCAGAATTATATTCCTTTTCTATTTGCTATAATTTAGGGCTTCTTCAGTATTTAGATACTGGCTTTCTATTATCTTCTCCATCCCACAGTTTAATAATCAACTATACTTCATTTCAAAAATATATTAGAATATAGCTGGCAATACATTGTATGTTTGCCTTATAATTATAATTACAATTCATAATAGAAATTTGTACTTGGATTTCTTGTAAAAAGTCTGAGGTTGATTTCAGGAATCAGTTATTATTACTGTTTGATATGTACGTTTCTTGTCCAGCAACTACTCAATAAGACTAAAACAAGTGAGACTTGTTAAGTTAGATTAAAACAAAAAATGGAATATAAAATTATTATAAATTAAATGTAATAATAAAATATTAAAAACAATTAACAATTAAAAGCTTGGCAAAACAGATGGGATTTACTAATTTTCTAAATAGGATAGAAGGGTAGAAATATGTATCTTAACAGGAAAGGGTGTTACTTAGATAGTCAGCATCAAGCTACTTACTGCTTTAAATTGAGCTCTCAAATGAAGCTCAGTAAACAGCCAGCAACCAATACAACTTTTTCAGTAGAGGTACTGCATAGTTTCTGCACCTTGTACTTCTTAGCAGCCTAGCTGTTCCATTATACAACAACTAAAATTTCCAGAAATTTACAAGGGTACTCACACAAAGCATACCACGTTAATTAAGAACAGACTATTGCCAAAACTGACCAGTTCAACAAAAACTATAGCTATCTCATGAATTATAATTCTGCAGAAACACCTTTTGCCACATCAACAACTTCCAATTCTATGACAGTTGAGAATTAAATTCCAAAGTGTCTGTCCTATGAAACATCCTTCTCCCAGAGATTAGAACATAGAACATAGAACATAGAATAGGTTTGGAATAGACCTTGGAGGTCGTCTAGTCCAACCCCCTGCCTAAGGCAGTAGAATGTATTCCATTCCAGACAAAATGGTTATCCAATGTTTTCTTGAAAACCTCCAGTGATGGAACCCCCACAACTTCAAAAGGTAAAAAGTTCCACTGATTAATTGTTCTCACTGTCAGGAAATTTCTTCTTAATTTTAAGTTGGATCTCTCTTTAATGATGTTTCACTCTTACTTCTTGTCCTGCTCTCAGGTTCTTTGGGGAATAGGTTAAAAACCCCTCTTCTCTTTAACAGCCCCTCAAGTAATGGAAGACTGCTATCATTTCAACCATAGTCCTTCTCTTTGTTAGCCTCCAGACTCCTTATAATCTTTGTTGCTCTTCTCTACATTCTTTCTAGGGTCTCAACATCTTTTTTATATCATCATGATCAGTACTGGATGCAGTATTCCAAGTCTGAACCTACCAGTGCAATATAAAGTGGTACTACTACTTTACGTGATCTTGGTGCTATCTCTCGATTGATGCAGCTTAAGACTGAGTTGGCTTTTTTGGCAGCTACAGCACATTGCTGGCTCATATTTAAGTGGTGGTCTACTAGGACATCTAGATCCCTCTCACAGTTACTACTGTTGACCCAGGTATCATCTATTCTATACCTGTGCATTTGTTTTTTCTTGTCTGTATAGGACCTTACTTTTCTCATCACTGAAATGCATTTTGTTGGATAACGCCCAGAGTTCAAGTCTGTCAAGGTCCTTCTGAATCTTGAATCTATCTTCTGAAGCGTTAACTGTTCCCCTCAGCTTATTGTCATCTGTAAATTTGATGAGTTCCCTTTCTATCCTCTCATCTAGATCATTTATGAAATTATTGAAGATTACTTCCCCCAAGACAGAACCTTGAGGTACCATACTGCATCCTTCCCTCCATTTAGATGTAGTTCCTGTTGAGTTCCAGCTGAGAAGCCCAACGAAGCAGAACACCAGAGACATTGCATTCTCTAATGTCAACTTTATTAGGCATTAGCAAACTGATACGATAGAATTAAAGCTAGCTCTGAGAAAATGGCAGGAAGAAGTTAATTTTAAAAATGAAACTTTCCCTCCCCTCTCTGACAATTCATGTCATGCCCCCATCGGAGCCTGAATCTGCTGAGGAAAATGAGATTTTTTTCTCTCCCCCCCTCTTTAGCTTATTTTAATCAGTTTTATATCTATTTTATTGTAGTACTAGTGTTGTGCTGTTTATTTGGGTTAGTTACAGAATATTTCACCAATAAAATTATTTTAAAAAACACAAAAATTGATATTACTTAATGACTATTCAAGATAGTCCTAAGCGGAGATAAACTCTTTGATCTACCAATTGAATGGTAGTGTTCATTGACTTATTTATTTATTTATGAGACTTATATACCGCTTTAGGTGCAAGCACTCTCTAAGCGTGTACACCAGTAAGCAATGTATATATATATTTACATTGCCCCCAACAATCTGGGTCCTCATTTTACCTACCTCGGAAGGATGGAAGGCTGAGTCAACCTTGAGTCTGTAAGATTTGAACCGCTGACCTGCTGAACACAGTCAGCTAAAGTGGCCTGCAGTACTACACTCTAACTCTAATAGGGCTTCCATGAAAAAGGAGCTAGCATAGAAAAGAATTATGAAGTAGTAAGAGATATGGATCCCAATGGCTTAGAAACTAACCAATCCAGAATCAAGTCTCTGGAAGGGAATTAATTTTGATACCTTGATTCCATAACTCAACCAAAATTTCTAGACCACAGGTTGGAAAAAAACTACAAAACTGTGTATTAGGATATTAAAAAGAAAAATTGTCATGAGTTGTAAGAAATCTTATCAGGAGTTCTACTGATAAAAAAAAAACAGGAAAGAAAGCATAGAAGAAAGTCCTCAACCAGCTCTGAAGGTATTTCTCTTATACATGGTCATATGATCCAATAAAAACTGGCAACAGTACTGGATGTATTAGTGATCGATGGCATCTGGGACAATCGGTGGGGACAGTCCCAGAGATACATCCAGTAATAATACATCCAGTAATAATGGAGAACTTGTGGCTTCAACAATAATTTTTGGGCAATTATTAGGTCCGTTTAAGTGCAAGTATGTTGCTTTCTCAGATCTCTCAGAAGCAAGAGATGTTGCGAGAGATGTTGGGAAGACTGCTTAGGCTGAACCTTGTTTAATTATGACACAATTTAACAGTCAAATTTTTTTTAATGAAGTGCCATATTCTGATTCCCTGCTTCTTAAACAGCGGAAACATTGCAACCTTCCATTTACTTTTAGATTCACAGCAGTTAAATGATGTTCAAACTGTAAATTAAATAAAGTAACTATACTGAACAAGCATTATGCTCAATTAATGGCTGAAACTACCTTGAGTTTATTCCATTTTATAGTCTGAAGCCACTAAATTTTTTTCAGCTCTTCCTTTATTCAGAGAAGCCAGTAAATAAGCAATCATATTAAATACTGTGCTCTACAATCAGAGAACAGTATCAAAGAGTATAGACAATGATAGATGCCTGATTTTCAGCCATCCTTGAAAGTTAACCTCTTACATGTAATTTTCGGATAGCTGACACTTGTCCTGCAACATGAATCAAGCAAACCTTAGACATATTCTCTAAATTTGACCACTCCACAACACAAGAACTCACAGCTTTAGAAGTATGCAGGTACTGAGACACCATTTCTCTCTTGATACTAATGTCTTTCTCCCTTAGAGGCTGCTGCTTTTCCTCATTTAGATTCATATCCACCTAGCAAAGAAAGCATAACAATCATAGAATTATCGTTAGGAGTTATCTAGGAGATCATCAAGTCTACCCATATGAACATCGCAGGATTCCCTATTAGATGACTATCTATTAGAAGACTATCCAGTCACATGAAGCTGTATTCTTTTGACAAAATTACAAATTACAAATAACAATATTTGATTTCTCCCAAATGAATTCTGGTTTTAGGATTTGTGTTTATTTGCTGTAGTAGAAAAAGAAATCAAAGTCCTCCTTCCCAGAGCAGAAAGAGAATTTTTCACATCACAAAAATCACACATTCATTTCAGCATAACTAGAAGCAAAGGGGAACTTTTAGCTTTGTTATTCTCAAGGTATAATTGTAATGGTACTTACCAGCATCTGCTCAAAGAGAACAAGTACATCTTCATCAGAGATATCCTGCAAAGTTTGACCTGTCCCAGAAATATCCGAGTATGAAGCAGATGAATTCCTATATGTTGTATTGGGTTTTTCTTTCTCTTTCTTTATCCTCATACTGGTGAATCTCTCAAGCTGATTAATAAAATATAAAATTAACACTGGTGTTCTTTTTCTATTCTTCTTTTCCATTCAATTTTAAATTGTGCTACTTTCTTAACTATAATGTATGAGCACTTTGGCAATGTATTTGAAAAATCAAAATCAATGTTCTTTTAAATCTCTTCATGCAATTCTCTAATTATCAGGACTGCGCAAAGCTTCTAGTGGTGCTTTGATTCACTGAAGTTTCAACTGAATCATTCCATTAAAAGCGATCAGATCAAAATAGATTTACTTTGATGTACCGAATCAAATGTCTGTAAAATGTTTTACAAAATCGATTGCTTTTCTGCTGCTGTATACAATACACACACCCACATACACACTATTGCAGATGCAATTCCAAACAGAGAGACCAGTGAGAAGATTAAATGCAGAGTGGCTAACGGATTATCTATCACTGAAATTATGTCCAGCTAAGGAGCTCTGTTATTTTATTAAACTATTAAACTAACTCTTTTGGGTTGGCAAGGCTAATGTTACTTTGATTTGTATTTACTTTCTCACCTCTCAATATCTTTGATGTGACCATTTAAGCCTTAACTCACAGTCCCTTGTGACAATAATGTTACAATTCTATATGGGCTCAAGATGGAGGATTGACTCAAGGAAACTCAATATGCCCTCTTGGATCAAACTCTATGTTAGGGCAGATTTAAACTTTTTGACAGTGATTGAACAAGTGCCTAACTTAGGGACTGTCCAAGCATTCACATGAGTTTCAAAGAATAAACATACGGTTTAAGTAATTGTTTTTTGCATTGTTCTTTTGCCAAAATCAGTAGCTATAACACATTTAAAACAAAATATTGCAACTGTTTCTAGGATAGGGGATGGCAAAACTATAAATACCACTTTTTAGTGTTTCTCACTGCTTCAGCTTACTCCTATTGCTTCTCTGAACAATATAGTATATTTTCACAATCCTGATGCTGCTAACCCCTTTCCAGCTTGCGAATTTGCTTGCCAACTAGCTATGTCATGCCTCTTGGTATCCTAGAACCCATCCACCCCCCAAAAACACCCAGACACAACAAAGATACACTATCCTATAGGGGCAAATCAATTAAAATTCATCAGTTTTATACCAAGCCTGGTACATCAGAAAAATGGATGGAAATGAAATGCTTACTTTTTGAATATTTGAAAGGTTTTCTTTTAAAGTGGGATAGGACATTGTCTGCAGTTTTCACTGTCACTCAACCAGCTAAAAGCAGTCTTTCTCAATTTCTATTTTAAAAAGGCCTGCAACATTATCCAAAGCAGAGTATCCTGTCCTTGCATATGCTGATTTTATAACCATCCCTCTCATCTAAATTAAATTCAGTTTGTTAACTGATGGACCATCCACTACCACCACCTTTGGGATACATAGATTTATTTAGAATTCTTGTCTTCTCACTAGAGGCATATTTAAGTACTAACAATACTTCAAATTAAATATCAAGATAATGCATGCATTTTAAAGATGAGAGAAAACAATGGGAACTCTTGCGGTTGTGTACAGGAATACTTCAGAGAATCAGATATTTATAAAGAAGGGGGGTAACATAATATGTTTTCTTCCAGACCCATTCTAGAAAAGCAACCAAGGAGCCCAAGTGGTTAAGAGTTACGCTCTCCTTTCAATCTGTTGGTGCAGACTATACAGTATATTTAATCCATTGAACAAACTGGATGCCAGAGTCAAAGTGACACAGCTTTCACAAAAGATACCCATTAAATGATACCATTAAATATGTACAGACATTTCTTGCAAAAAGAGTAGCATCAGGGAATACAGTAATAGAGACAAGAATACTATACCATCTTTAAAAATGGTTAATATACTCTATCAAGGCAAACACTTCACAAAAGAAAAAAGTTAGCAGTCAGAAAGCTAATAGTAAAAACCCAGGGAAGAGAATGCACAAAATTTATATTAGGATTTATTAGGATTTACAAAAACAATTAATGCCAAAAATATATAACACAATTGCTCTTACCTCATCTGCCATTACACGCTTCAAATTCTACAATTGGGGAAAACAAAAAAGGCAGAAAAAAATGAATCAATAGATTACAAAAAATCCAGTAGCAAAAGAGAAAGGGCTAGCAATACACATAACGTGGGCATTAATGTCCACAAATATTTTCTTCTTATTTTCTTCTTAGAAACACAATTAAACCATTTTCTTTAGATCTTATTTAATAGCAATTCTTAAGCCCCCCAGCATTTCACCCAAAGAGCTAAAGAGCGTGAATTGTACTAGCAAGCTTTATGTGAATGTGTATTTCAGACAGTAATCTTTGCATACAAAAATCCAAGCTATCTGTAAATACAAAAACCAAGATATTCTAAAACACATTTTAAAAATATAAAGACAACATATTTCTGGAGAAGAGGTCCAAACTGTACAGTATGTGAAGAATAAAAGACAAAAATGGAGGATACTGGATGAAAAATTATTGGAAAAAGAAAGATTTAACTGATAGAATATCTATTTGAATTATCTGCACTTTTGCATTTAAGCTATAAGTTTCAATAATGCAAAAGAGTCTCCTGCTTCAGCAGGAGGTTGGACTAGAAGACCTCCAAGGTCCCTTCCAACTCTGTTATTCTTTATTCCATTCTGTACTTTGTAAAAAGCATCAGCAAATAGTCCCAAAGGTCCTTTTTCAAAAGGCAACTGGACTTTGTATTTCCTTGAACACATTTCACTTCTCATCCAAGAAGCTTCTTCAGTCCTGATGGAGTCAGAAATGAAGACACTTCTTGAATGAGAAGCGAAGACACTTCTTGAATGAGAAGCGAATCATGACCTGGATAACTGAGAATCTCCATAGACATCAACAAATAGGAATCCCTTTCAAAGGAAAGAGATAAAATGTAATTCTTTCCCTCCCGTTACAATTTTGAGAAAAGTTCTTCCACTGAATATATGGGTATGTGCTACGACTTAAAAATATCCCCTCTGTGAATTAGAATCCCACATAACAGATATAGGAAACTTTTGACCCATGGAATTTCTGAATTCAGCTTACCATCCCTGGCAGATTCAACTTTCCCTTTTGCTCTGGCTACAATGTATTCTTCACAATCCCATTTTTACTCATAGAAACTTCTCATTTCCAATTAACGGATGAACAAACATGAAAACTCTTTGTCAAACCTTCAAATGATCCTGGCCACAGCCAACTTCGGCTCGTTTTCGGTTGCCACAGCAATGGGAAGAGGAAAATGTGTTCTCTTAGTTTAGTCATAACAAATACTTTCTTGTGGGAATCAAGGTCAAGCTACCTAAGTTTTGGCAGGCTGGAGTTTCCATTAGAAGGGGCGTTGTCTTACCTGAACGCCTTTTCTCAGTACGGAGATGGAGAATCCACCAATGGGTTTTCTCTGTCTGCCTGCTCTTGAGACCAAGTAGCCAAACCTGACACGCCCCCTCTTGCTAGGAGATCCAGTCTTGACGAGGGCGAAAGTGGCTGAAGGTGGACGAGGTGTTGGCTCTCAATCCCTTAATATCAGCCTAACTGACCTAAAGGGTGGGTGTGGATTCTCCATCTCCGTACTGAGAAAAGGCGTTCAGGTAAGACAACGCCCCTTCTCCAGTACAGGAGATGGAGAATCCACCAATGGGACATACCAAAGCCTCACTGTCCCGATGGGTGAGAAACAGATAAGGCTGGATCTATGTCCCCGGAGACCACCTGCTGAAGGACCATCCAACCAAAGGAGGCATCCGCGGAAGCGAAGCGGTCAATCCTGTAATGGCGTACGAATGGGGAGGGCGAGGACCATGTCACAGCCCTGCAAATCTCCTCGATGGACGCCTGAGTGGTCCATGCCGCAGATGTCGCAGCGCTGCAAGTGGAATGGGCTGTAAGATGACTTGGAGCCAGCAGGGAAGAAGACTGGTACGCCTCCGTGATACAGGTCCTGATCCACCTGCCTATAGTGCCAGCTGACACTTTCTGTCTCAGAGAAGCCAGATGGAAGGAAATAAAAAGTGCCTCCGATTGCGAAAAGGCTCCGTGTGTTTGATGTAATGCTGCAGGGCCCTGCGGACGTCCAGTGTGTGCCACTGCCGCTCCAAGTCATGGGAAGGATTGGGACAAAAATTTGGTAAAATGACTTCCTGTGCCCTATGGAAGAGCGAGTTGACTTTGGGCACGAAAGCGGGATCCAACCGAAGGACCACTCGATCTCGGTGGAAGATGCAAAGGTCATTCCTGATTGAAAGAGCAGCCAGCTTGGAGATACATCTGGCTGACATGATGGCGATTAAGAATGCGACCTTAAGAGACATGGCCCGCAAAGGAATAGTAGCAATGGGCTCAAAGGGCGGTTTTGTTAGAGCGCGAAGCACATGAGGCAGCTCCCAAGAGGGGTAACTGTGTACCACGGGAGGTCTGGTATTGCATGCACCCTTGATGAAGGTGCATATTCTAGGATGATGAGCTAAAGGTACTGAGTCCGCACAAGTTAACATTGACAGGACCGCCACTTGCCTATGAATGGTCGCAGGGGCCAGGCCTCTGTCCAGGCTGTTCAGAAGATAATCTATGATCTGAGGGATAGTCAATTTGTAGACATCCAGTTGTTGCCTTCTACACCAATGGCAAAATTTTTTCCAAGTAGAATTATAAATGCGATTGGTCGCTGGGCGACGAGAGGCCTGAATCATGGTAATTGCACGTGGTGAAAATAACTCTTGCGTCATGATGCTGCGCTCAAGCGCCAGATGGTCAACTGTAACCACTGAGGGTCCGGGTGTTGGAGGATCCCCTGGTGTAAGGACACGCGATCCGGAGGAATCCTCCACGGAGGAGACTGGGAGAGACTCATCAGGTCGGCAAACCAGGGCCTCTGTGGCCACTATGGGGCCATGAGGATCACTTCCGCCTGCTCTTGGAGTAGTTTGCGGATGGTCGCCGGGATGAGTGGGAGAGGACGGAAGGCATAAAGGAGCCCTTGTGGCCACGGAGTCCACAGGGCATCCGTCTCTTCCGCCCCTGGAAGATAATAGCAGGAGAAGTACCTGGGGAGTTGGGCATTGTTTGACGATGCAAACAGGTTGAGGATCGGGTGGCTGAACCTGTGGGAGATCTCGGAAAACAGATCCAAATGTAACCTCCATTCCGAGGCGTCCATCATAGAGCGACTCAGAAAGTCTGCCTGCTGGTTCTTGACCCCCGAGATGTCTTCGGCCCTGATAGAGGCCAAATTGGACTCTGCCCAGGAACCCAGTAGCCATGCCTCAGACATAAGGGAGTTGGACCTGGTGTCCCCGACAGTTGACACGTGCCTTGGACGCCACGTTGTCCGTGAGGATCAATACGTGCCGGCTCATGATCTAGTGTCAGAATTGGTGAAGGGCTAAATGGATGGCTCTGAGCTCCAGCCAATTGATGTTGTATCTCAAGTCTGTGTGCGGGACCACAAGGTACGAGGCCAGGGCCTCCCCAAAAAGATTATTGCCCAGATAGGGAGCAGCCGCCAGTGTTTGAGCCATAGCATCCTTCTGGCTGTAATGTTGGATGCTAGAGACCTAGAAGCAAAGTTGGCTGACTGAAGCATTGCATCCGCAGCATACTCAGTGGCCACCACAATTTTGCTTAGATCCTGGTGGGTCCGAATGTCCTCAGCAGGGACTCTGGTCTGAAGCTGACGAAGCCATGAAAGGGGGTCCGGACAAAGAAGGTACACAAGTGGCCATTTTAATTGCCCATGCTGCTGATTGATGGGTCTTCCAGAAAGTTTGGTCCCATTTTCTGTTGTCTGCTTTTAGCGCCTCCGACCTGTCCCCAGCGACCGCAGTCTGGGATACCAGAGGGGTCCAGGCTTCATCTACCTTGGGGACCTCCAGTGCATCAGTGAGGTCTGTGGAGGTGCTAAAAATCTTTTTATCAGTCCCGCTTACGGAAGGGAAGGAGGAAGGAGAGGCCCATTGTTTTTTGATCCCTTTAAGAAAGATAGAGGGACACGGAACATGATGTTAGGCTGCCACCGTTTCAAAAAAGTTGGATTTGAATTGGAATCCAATTCAAATCCAACTGTGGCTAAGGGAACTATCGGACCCTATGTTCGCCATTGATGTGGCCTTGCGAAGCAGGGGAAGAAACAGGGCTGGATTGAACAGGCCTCCCGATGGAGAGGGTTCAGGGGGAAGTTCCTCCTCTTCTGATAAATTAAATTCCGGCTGCTCCTCACCTTGTGGGGATGAGTATCCACTCATGGAGGAATACGCAGAAGATGTGGGTTCCTGAAGTATAGGGAACTCTGCAGGAGGGACATAAGGTGGCATGGCCGATGTGGAAGCCCCCTGTCCAGGTGGATGGAAGGACCATTTTGCTAGAGCATGGTCCACAACCTTGGATAGCAAGGCCTCAAGGCAGCCGTCGGAGAAAATGTCTCCGATGTCTGGTCCCCTGAGCCCTGCAGCCGTAGGAGTGAAGGTGGCCTCTGGGGCTGAACCTAAGACGGTTGTTGCATGTTGACCCAATGCAGAAGGCGAGCTGAGTGTGGCAGGCGTCCCTGTGAGAGACCACACGCCTTGAGCCGAGATTGAAGGGCCTAAAGGAAGGTCAAATTCAGGGACCGCCATTTGATCCGTCTCTAATCCAGCCTGCCTCTGTGCTCTGGAGAACTCCTTCTCCAGAGCCTGGTGCCTACAGCTGGCTTGCTTTTCCGTCAACTTGGAAGGCATCTTGAGAGTGGCCTTAGCCTTGGATTTGGGTTTGCCTGTTGCCTCCTGTTCAGAGGATTTGTGCCGGCCGTAACTAGAGGATGGGGAGGCAGTGCTCATGGGTTGAGGCATCGTAGAGTCATCCATCCTGGTTGAGCAGTCTCAGGGAAACTGAGACGAAGATCTGGCAGGCAAGCAGTTGGAGGAAGCGAGATTGGAACAAGTAACAAGACTGCTCCCCTGACCACCTGACCAGAAAACAATCTATCTGGGCTTTGGTCACAGCAATTGAGTCAGATGCTGAAAGCACGGTTGGGGACCCGCTCTGGGCTCTGCCCAGAGGC